AAATCAACTTCATAGTATAAAGTCATGCATCATCTATACTATAAAGAGGTTTTCTAAACATGTTCTAAATATCATATCATCATCCATCAGATATTCTATAAGAACATGGGTTATAGGAAAAATAGTAGTAATTCAAACTAGCCTCAGTAAGCATGTTATCTTGTAAAACGTTTCATCAAACATAATCATCAAATCATGCTTTTCATGTATGCATTTCTACTATCAAAACATGCATTTTTAGAAGGGGTCCACTCACCGTACACCGTTGGTGCAAGCCGTACCAAACAAGAATAACGGAAACACTGCTAGGAATCACACCTAAACACACAATTGGTACTTTCAGTCAAACTCTACTTAAACGATTGAAAACGGATTTAGAACGCCGAAATTAACCTAGGAGGAGTCCTGCACGAAAACCCAAAAAGTCAACGGTCAAAGTCAACGTGACTGGTCAAAGTCAAAAGTCAACGCTGACCGTTGACCCATTCAACGGTCAACGGGTCAAGGTCAACGGGTCAGGGTCAACCCAGTTTATGGTTTGGGTATTGGATCCGGGTTTAGGCTTGAGGGTTTGGGTTAGGAAAAATGGGTTTAGGTTTTTAGGTGGGCTGGGTTAGGATTTTATACCACTCGGCCCAAAGGCCCAAATATAAAGGGTATTGGGTTTTGCTAATACGATCCTAAGGCCTTTGGTTTTTAAAAAAACAAAATAAAAATAAAAAAGAAAAGGGTTGGGCTTTTGGGCTGAAAACCAAAACAGGCCTAAGGCCCGTGGGGGGGGGGGAGGGAAACGGCCTGAAGGCCTGGGGTGCACCGGAGGAGGATGCCAGAGCTTTCACAGCTCCGGCCAACTTCAAACATGCAAACGAGACCCCGATCTAGGTACCAAAATGAAGCACTAGACGAGAGGAGTATTTTTATACCTTTGGTTCGCCGTAAAACGGCCTGTGTGGTGGCCGAAAAATCCCTCGGTAACCACAAAACTCGCCGGAGATGGGTGTGCCTTCACCCGTGCCAAATTCACTCTAAAACCTTGGAATTAATGAACCCAAACTCAGTAAACACATCCAGGCAATGACTAACATGAATAAAAGGGAAGAGACAAGCTTACCCAATCGGAAAAACAATAAAACTCACCGAAGGTGCTCGGTCCCTCCGTCCTCTCGGCGACGAGAGCAAGGGAGGGAGAGAGATGCAGTTTCATGGCGATGATGGTGGCTGTCTCCCTGAGCTGGTGCAACTATGGGTGTGTGTGTGCACTGTCATGGTGTAGGAAAGGGAGAGAAATGGGAGGGTTTCGAAAGAGAGAAGAAAGAGTGCAGACAAAAAAAGAAAAAGAAGAAAAGAAAGAAAGGAAGTCACGGCAGGTGGGGGGACAAAAAGAGAAAAGAGAAGTGAGTTGGGGTGTTGCCACGTGGCAGCTTAGGGATAGGATCAAAAATTAAATTTCCAGATCTTGATTGGGTGAAAAAAAAATTGAGGACTAAAGTGATGGTTCTATAAATTTTTAGGGAGAAATACAGAATTATACTTATAAGCAGGGGGGGTGTAACAGGTGTGGTCGAGGCCCAAAGCGGACAATATCATGCTACGGTGGAGTCAAGCCCGGGATGTGGTGGGGCCCGAGCCGGGATGTGACAATTTGGTATCAGAGCCAATCCCTGGCTAGAAGTGTGCCGACGAGGACGTCGGGCTCCTAAGGGGGTGGATTGTAACATCCCACATCGTCCAGGGGAATGGATCTATTGGAAATGTGCCCTAAAACCAATCATATGATGATACTTTACGGACATTTCAAACTAATGTAGTTTAAATGTAAAGGGCAAAGATTATTGTTTGAGCCGTCTCATATAAAGGTTATATGCTTAAACGATAAGTCCATTGGAAGAATGCGATCTAAAGAAGTTAGATTCATGAGACCATTCTTTCGTTGACACATCCTAAACATTCCTGATCATAGGATTGTCAATTGGGCATTGACAGTCCGTTAAGATCAGTACGTGTTATGTCTTCTCTCAGGGAGAGTGACTAGTCTCGAGTCATTGGTGTGTGTGACATCAAGACAAGTACGTAGGTGCTAAAAAGAGAATGAGTTCACTGAACACGATCAACGAAGAGTTCTCATATTCATGTCACATGAGAACTCATGGTTGGGATAATGCAAATTAGTCTTTTGACCTGAGGCATCACAGTTGTCTTGTGGTTAGGTCCTTAATCTTTGATTATGTCAAAGTCACTCCATCAGGAGGGTGTCTACGGCATCGTTGGGGTTAAGCCACTTAGCCATGGAGGCAAGTGAATGCGCAACAAGGGATCTCTAACCTTCAAACTGTTTGAGGGAGAATACTCTATGATATGATTAAGAATCTTTGGCCAAAGTATGAATGAGATTTAGGAATGTGTTCCAAATCACATTCAAGGTAATCATATAAGCACAAGACTCACATTGGATAGTAAACATGAATAAACTATCAAACCAAACAATGTGGTCAAGAGTATTGTATTAGAGAAAGACCGTATTGCATTTGTAATCCTAAAACTGAATAGGTTCTCCACCTCTTCTGATTAGCTTGGGTAACCATGACATGCTGCTAGGCGTCAACCATGGTTTGTGGAAGCCCTAAAGTGTATTATCACTAACGGGAGAATTGAAAGTAAGTTTCAATTCACAATCGATTTGAAAGAGTTTGAATCGCCCACTGCCTCGCTAAAAGGAACCTAATGGATCGTACACCGTGTAAGGTAGAGATTGAAGATTCAACGGAGATGAGTAAGAATAATTAAATGGTTTAATTGTTTATGGCAAGGATTAATTAATATGATTATTAATCAAATGAATAAGTTCGTTAAAAGACCTCGGGATAGTTTTGGACCTTAAGGCCCAATGGGCTTCGAACGTCAAGTCCAGTGACTTAAGTTGTATGACAACTTAATGAATAATGATTCACAAAGGCCCAAATAGCCCAATAAATCCCATATGGCCGGCCATTTAGAGGAGGGTAGTGAACTTGGCTTAATTGCAAGTTTGCCACTCCATTGTGAGGTGGTATAAAGACATCTTTATAGCCATTTCATCCTAAAGGTTTTCTTAGGAGTAAAGATGAGAACACAAACCTCTCTTTGCTCTCAAAGAGGCCAGCCATCCTTGAGGAAAACATCTAGCAATCTTACTTCCTCAAGGTCACTCATTTCTTCTACAACATGCCTTGGTGTGGAGACTTTGAGGTTCTCAATTTTGGGAACTTGGAGAAACCTTTTCATCCATCCAAATCCATGGATCTAAGATGCAAGGAATGAAGACCCTCTCTTTGGGTGATTAGCCTTTGCTTATGCAAAGAGGAATCTACAAAGGTATTGATTTCTCAACTCACTTTGTTTTGAGTTGAGTCTTGGTTTACCTATCTACTAGGCTTTGAAGTTCATGGGTTAAGTTTTGTTTTTGAGTGCATATAAACATGATTCCGCCTTTTAATTGTTAATTGCATGTTGTTGATGTTGCTTAAATGAACTTGTTTTTCACAAATATTCCTTCAGGATCCTCTATGCCTTATATGTATATTCACATCTCTACTTAGCACGAGGGTTTTTGGGAACTCACTGGCTTCGGGTTCCATCGGAACTCCGAAATTAAGCGAGTTGGGGGCAAGAGCATTCCCATGATGGGTGACGCACTGGGAAGTTCTCGTGTGAGTTCCCAGAAACAAAACTGTGAGGACGTGGTTGGGGCCCAAATGGGACAATATCATGCTACGGTGGAGTTGAGCCCGGGTTGTGGTGGGGGCCCAGGCGGGGATGTGACACTATGACTATTATATTTTATAGTAAGTTTTTTAGTAGTTTAAAAAAATTAAAATCATCAAACTAACTATTTTTTTTCTTTAAGTGTTGAAATGGGTTACTCGAGTGTCACTCTCGTGTAAACCTATTAAGGACCCCTTATTAACAGGTTCTTATCGTGTGATCCGATAACGACCCAATTAGCTCTTGTGTTGACCCGAAACCCATTATTTTCGTATAATGTGTCGTGTAAAAAATTGCTAGGTCTAATTGAACCCTTCTTAAAATTAAAAAGGAGAAATAGTTGAATGTATGAAATTAGAATTCCAGATTATGCAATGATGATTCAAAGGAATTGGGTGGCATTAGATTGGATTTGAAATTACAATTGATCATATTGCATGATCTTTGTTTATGCGGATTGGGGCGTTGCGGACAACTTGTATACTCGTAAAACCGTAACATGCTTCTACTTTGAGCACCACGAGACCATGGCAGCAAACCGGCTTAACAGAATCAGAACGATGAATTGCTGTTGTGGTAGCAAACTTTTGCTATGTTCGGTCTTGACAAAATTATACCTACCTACAAAACAAACAAACACTTTTGATCAACGTGCCTATGAAGTTCGGGGGGTTGGCTAAGTCAGTTTCTTTGAAAAATGTGAGTGTTTTGGTCTTAATTGTGTAGTGAAAACTTACCATAAATTGGTGGAGATGATGTATATATAGGAAGCTGGGTGTAGAGTTTTGCCGTACACATGGCAGTTTCCCATTAACCAAGGTGAGTGCTCCGTAGGATGAACAAGGAAAGGATAATCCCAAAGATATTAATTATGAGATAATATCTTGGAATGATGTTGGTAGCATCCTTGATGATTGTGATGAGGATTCCTTGAATCATCTCCAAAGAGGATGTCAAATCTTAAATAGAATGTCAGGTAATCAAATTTTAAAGTAGGAATAAGCACCAACCGATATATCAATCCTATGTGAATTGAGATATGAATTTAATATGTCAAATTTGACATTTGAAAAAAATGTGCTGTAAAATAATTTAATAAGACTTAACAGTGTCAATGCTTTGTTAAATATAAGAATACGTGTGGAAAATTGGATAGAAGACACGAATGGGGACATGCATTCGGAGACAGCAGAACTGCCACCTTGACTTTTGAGCCTTTTAAAGATTCCCCAGTAGTATTAAAATTTCAGAGTCTTTTGTGAAAGCAACGATATATTTCATAAGCCAAAGGGATACAACGGGTAAGCTGGTCTGGGAATACCAACACCGAAGCTCAATGAAGTACGAGCTCCTAGCATATGTAGAACATCGAACTAGTTTAGTATAGCTATCTTTCAGCTTTGAACTGCCCACCTGCATCTAAGTCGAAGGTCTGCTACCTAAGCTGTTGAATATGGGGAAAGTAGTAGAAGAACACATTGAAGCTCGTGTCAAACAACTCCTATCTCGTATGACTTTGAAAGAAAAGGTTGGCCAGATGACCCAAATTGAGCGCCAGGTCGCCACTCCAGCTGCCATTAGAGACCACTCCATAGGTATATATCTCTCTCTCTCTCTCTCTCTCTGTTTCTTTCGATTTTTTTTCATGTAGTAATTGATGGAGGACTTTTATGTTATGGCGTTGGCAGGGAGTATATTCAGTGGTCTGGGCAACGTGCCCTGTGAAAAGGCTTTGCCGTCAGAGTGGGCGGATATGGTGGATGAGCTTCAGAGGTCTGCGCTAACGTCGCGGCTTGGGATTCCCCTCATATATGGGACTGATGCGGTTCATGGCAACGGTAATTCTTATGGTGCTACTATATTCCCTCACAACGTTGGCCTTGGCGCCACCAGGTACTTACTATGTCATTCGTTTTTGTTTTAAATTTGTACGTGGTGCTACTGATCCCCTCATGTTATAACCCGAGTTTATTGTAACAAACGGATTATCATACCCACAAAATATTTTTCACTAAAAGGATGTGTCAAAATTAATTGAATTTGTACTCTTGAAAATGTGAATTCCGTACTTAAAGAAAACAAATTAAAGTTATCAATCTCTTCCTTTTCTTTTTAAGAAAATATTTTCTTTGTAGTGATTATAGTTTGATTTAAATTACTGAATTGTAGACTCAGAATCATTTTTTGGTGAAACAAAACGAAAAGAGATGAGTCTTTGGTAGTCTTCCTCCTCCATCAATTTCCTCTCGTTTAACTTTTGAATTGTGTTATAGAGATGCAGATTTGGCACGAAGGATTGGTGTGGCAACTGCTCTTGAAACCAGGGCTTGTGGTTTTCACTATACTTTCGCTCCCTGTGTGGCTGTAAGTCATTATGGATTATGTACTAATTACGTTTATCTGTTTTTCTATTTAGGATGTGGTTTATCAAATTGTGAACTTACTGTCAATTTGCAACAGATAAGTACTTACTCAGGCTTTGTTAAAAGAAAAAAAAAGTACTTACTCAAGGCTCCATTTGGTTCTTAGAAGTTGGATTTTAATTTTCAAATATATATGAATTTTGAAATTGAGCATTTTAAGATATAGGTTTCTTAGGCAAAATGGTCATTAAAATTTGCATAACTTCTCACTTTGGTTCATGAGATTTGAAATCAATATAAGTGGTCTCTAAGATTGTCCACCATCAATCATTTTGGTCCTTGGTGAAAAATTATGTTAAATAAGGATCAAAATGACAAAATTACCCTCAATTTAATAAATAATAGGCCAAAATGATTTGAGCAAAATCGAGGGTATTTTTGTCATTTTATTCTTATTTTATGGAAATTTTTAGCGGAATGACCAAAATGATTAATTGTGGACAAACTCAGGACCAATTCTATCTATTTCAAATCTCAAGGACTAAAGTGAGAAGTTATGCAAATCTCAGGACCATTTTGGCTAAAAACCCTAAGATATATTATACCAAATAATGAGGCATGAATTTGATGGCTTTATGAAGAAATTCAGTTGAACGGATTCCGAGAGTTTTGATAGGTAGGCAAGGATCCGAGATGGGGAAGATGCTACGAGAGTTACAGTGAAGATACTGAAATTGTAAGCAAGATGACGTCTATTGTTTCAGGCTTGCAGGGGCAACCTCCCCAAGGACATCCGAAGGGCTACCCTTTTATGGCGGGAAGGTAGAGAGGAGTTATATCAGTCAATAGTTTTTTATTCATGCTTCTTTTTCATGAAACATTTAGCGTTTTGTCTGAGTTTGATAAGTTACACACTTGTACGTTTTAAATCATCTTTGTTCCAAAGAATAAGGAAAAAACATTGAATTGTTTGAGGTTCATTTCTTCACTCTGACACTCACTCTTATGCCTACCATAATCTTAAACATTATTAACTTTTTCCTAATTCGTTTTATATTTCAGCAACAACACTATTGCATCTGCCAAGCATTTTGTTGGAGAAGGGGGCACAGACAAAGGTGTAAATGAGGGGAATGCTGTATTATCTTATGACGATTTAGAGAGGATTCATATGAAACCTTATCTGGACTGTATTTCTCAAGGAGTTTGTACTATTATGGCTTCCTATAACAGCTGGAATGGAGATAGAGTACATGGTCACCGTTTTCTCCTTACAGAAATCTTGAAAGATAAGATAGGTTTTAAGGTGGGTAACCATATGATCTACATAGTTTGTTGTTGGCAAGGTAGGCTAAACACTGAAGACCTACCCATACTCAACAATATTTAGTCTTGTTTTGACTAGTTCTCTTTCGTCTCAAAGTTTAATGGGACCGTTATTAAATGTAACATTGACGTCTACTGTTGCTGCAGGGAATTTTGATTTCTGACTGGGAAGGAATTGACCAACTTTGCGAACCTGAAGGTTCAGACTATCGTTTATGCATTTCCTTAGCCATTAATGCAGGAATAGACATGGTATAAACACTCCAAGCTTATAGGCCTAAACAATTTTTCACTTTCCTTGATCTTTACATTGTCTGATTGGGAAGGTATGTGTGCAGGTCATGGTGCCTTTCAGATATGAAAAATTCATCGAGGAATTAATATATCTTGTGGAATCCAGGGAGGTACCAATGTCTAGGATAGATGATGCTGTTGCAAGAATACTGAGAGTGAAGTTTGTTGCTGGTGTTTTCGAACATCCCTTTGCTGATAAATCTTTACAGGACGTAGTTGGTTGCAAGGTAATCTTCTGGGCTCAGCATGTCTTACATTCTCCTTTTTGAAAATTCACATGCTTTGCTTGTTATCATTTGAAAGTGCATGATCAGTAAACATCTGACAAAACTAGTTCGAATCAAGTTAGTACTAGTGAATTAGTTTTGCTTCAAAGATTCTTGTGTGCAGCTGCACAGAGATCTAGCACGTGAAGCAGTTCGCAGGTCATTGGTTCTATTGAAGAATGGAAAGGACCCAATGAAACCTTTTCTTCCATTAGACAGAAATGCTAAAAGAATACTTGTTGCTGGAACTCATGCCGATGATCTTGGAAATCAATGTGGAGGATGGACGGCTACAAAATATGGTAGCAGCGGCCAGATAACAATCGGTATGGAATCATGTCGCCATATCCATTTATTTATTTATTTATTTTATAATTGAGAGACTAACTGTGATCAGTGTGACTTAAAAGTCTAGGATTTCGCTTTTTAAAAAGTTTAAATTCTCAAGTTTCGAACCCAGAATTGTTCAAAGGCTTCAACCATTACTACAGGCTACATAGAAGTTGTGTTTTCTTGCGCTTGAAGAATTCTGGCTTTTACTACTTTTAACGGATAGTATAATCTTGGCCTTAAATTGATAGATTGTAAATCAACATTGTTACATCCCCTCATTGCCTTTATTACCCTAATTTATTAGCACATGTACATGTTTAGGGACAACCATCTTGGAAGCTATTAAGATGGCAGTTGGAGATGATACAGAAATAATTTACGAGAAATATTCGTCAGCAGACACCCTAGCACGTCAAGATATCTCTTTTGCGATTGTGGTCGTTGGTGAAGCTCCGTATGCAGAATGCAGGGGTTATAGTTCAGAGCTTGTGATCCCGTTCAATGGAACTGATGTCATAAGCTCGATTGCTGACAGAATTCCCGTCTTGGCGATTCTAATTTCTGGAAGACCCCTAGTTTTAGAGCCCTGGCTCTTGGAAAAGATGGATGCTCTTGTTGCTGCTTGGCTCCCTGGTACTGAAGGAGAGGGAATTGCAGATGCAATCTTTGGAGATTTTGACTTCGAGGGTAGACTCCCGGTGACATGGTTTAAAAGGGTTGAACAACTGCCTATGCATGCTGCAGACCCTTTATATCCTCTTGGCTTTGGGATGGCATACAATAAGGTGTAAGCTTTGCACCAAAGAATTTGAAGATAATGTTGTTTTATTGTTTGAATCTGAGTTTATTGCACCGGTTTTTGCGTAACATTTATTCATGAATGCACCCTCTTTTATGCCAATGTCTTCGTACCACCGAGGAAATTTTTGCTTGGACCGTTATGCGGTTAGACTTGTAGGGCAATCCAATCAAAAGATGTCATGTTGATCTAATAGTGAGATTGATCTGATATCCTGCTGACTTGGCATCTCAGCTTCATGCAAGTTTTATATTTGTTGAGAGCAAACGGTCACGATGAAATGAGATACTTTTTAATTTACCTTCTTTCTTTAATTTCTTTACACATTTCATAATTTCCATTATGTGTATTTTTTTTCTCTTTGATTCTTTCCGCATTCTCATAATTTACCTTACACAAACCTCTTGAGAGTTGGCATCATGCTTCCAACTTGAAATCGAGCCTATAGTTCATTGCAATTTATAAGGAAATTTGTAGACATATGAAATTTCGGTGAAATAAATATTCATCAACACATTAAAGTTTCGACATGCCAAGACTTATGTGGCATGTGTCATGTGTGTCTCACAAATCGTACACCTAGCATGTGACTCATCAAAATCTGACGAGTCATCAAGAGAGATACGTGTCAATACTTGGCGGAAAATAATTAAGAAATTATTTGATTTTAATTTAATTAACCAAATTAATAAATTTAAATTTAAAACAAAAGAAAATACCAAATTGGGGAAGATTGATATATGATTTTTATTTGATTAAATCAAATATTAATAGATAGAGTCAAATCACGATCCAAGTCACAAATTAAGTCTTTACTCTTTCATCAATTAATCAAGTTCACAATCAAGGCCAAAGTCATAGGTAAGACTTGGAGAGCCTATAAATACGTGGCTCCAAGATAAAGAAAGGGGTCAAAAATTCATTCTCACGCCCAGACGCTCAAACTCTCAAGCCTTAAACAATCTTGAACACTCAGAAGACTTAGAAAGCTCTGTGCGTTCTTCGTCACACCCATGAAGAATCATCAAGCACAATTATACATGTTAGTTCTTCTATCGCCACAAGCCAAAACCTTGCGGCATCTGTTCATCCAATATCAAGTCATCACGAGTCTCAGATCAACATTTCCTACACAAACACTTTGCATCATGAAGATCAAATTTGTAATAAGATATTGTAACGCTAAACTATCATTAATACATATATTAGTTTGTACATGTGTTCTATGTGATTTGCCACAGAAAATTCGCGTTTACAACTCATTACAGGGCATTTCATGTATTTATCCACACAACATAATGTAATAATTCGTTTGCCTAACGAGAAGGTTTGGTCCGATCATAATTTTTCAAGAAAACAAGGAGTTGCACCTCCAAAATATGCATCGAACAAGGAGTAGTTCTACTTTACAAGCTAGATGCAACTCTGAGCAATGACAGAAACGCCACTACAGCATATTTTACTGCATGTTAAGTTTCAGACACATTACTGTACACTGCCGAACGAAAATTTGATGTACAGTGAAACTCTTGCCATAGAACTATTGGATTAGTGTGAAGCTTCCAAAAACTCTGTTAATATAGGGTTCTTAGTAAACCCTCCCAAAGCATATTTGTAGTATCCCATTTGAAAATCAGCAATTTATGGCAAAACGGCCTGAAAAAATATTGATTCCATTTTTGTAAGGTATCGATCATATTAACCAAAGTTGAATAGAGAAATAGTGAATTACTTTCTAGGGTAACGTCTTCTTTTAGATCTGGTACGATGGGGGAGAATCCGGAAAACCACGACAATAATATTGATGACGACTTGTATGATTATTAATAGCTTCAAACCTGGAAATTAACTCAAAACCCCCAATTTTTGTTCACACATAATTTTTAGCTATACAAAGACAAGTTGGCATTTTTATTTGGTTTCTGAAAAGTAAGCTGAAAACAAGTTGGTGCCTTTTATTGTTATAAATTTTGTCTCATTTCCTGATTATTTCTCGTTTCGTCATTGATTTAGGTTTAGACAGTTTTACTTTGATAATCCTCCATGTTCAGTTAATTTTGTTCATGAAAATCGACTTGATTTGTCCCGGTGGATTTATTATAGAATAGTTTTATTTGAGCTATTAGCATTTAGTCACTTTTTTTTTTTTTAAATAATGATTTAGGACTTGTTTGGAAGTGCTTTTAAATTAACTGAAAGCGTTTTCAGTGAATATATTTTTTGAACCAATCCTTAGTAAAACGCAAGTAAATTATGAATAAATAACTAACTTGAAGTATTTCTTGACTATGAAATACTTTAAATGCTTTACGAACTCAATATTTTCTCCAAAAGTGTTTTAGGTTATTTTAAAAATATTTTCAAATGAGTGTTTAGTCAATTCAAAAGTGTTTACTTTGGCGCCACTATGATTAAGATATCTGAAAGAAACCCCCCAAACTTCACCTTTCAAAATAAATAATCTCATGTCAAAGCAAAAAACAGAAGAAAACAAAAAACCAAATTCCACATCAAAAAACTAATATTAAAAAAGTGAGTACATTAGTTTTCGGCATAAAACATAACAAACAGCGGTTGTGCTGTTGTAGCCTAGGTTAACAGACAGAGAACGGGCATCGAAACCTTTATTGTCGGCCTGCAAAGCTCTGAGACGATTTCTCCCAATTTTCTGATCAATGGAAAATGATATGATCGACGTGGAAGAAGAGAGCGACAATGAAAGTCCTGAACGTGTTTATCATGTAACCGCATAACTGCACTAGCCACTATGTTAGCGAATAGTTTTTATTTTTGGTCTCCTTTCTCGTTCGCCAATAGTTTTGAAGCAGGAGTACCAGCCACCTCTGCAGTAATGGGTGGAATAACACGCTTCTCCTTGGCTTAGAGATTAAAAATACACACTTTTACCCTCAGCTGATGCAATTTTTCATCTAAAATTTGGCATCCCAGATAAACCAAAACAGAAGCTTCAAGATACACAAATTTTATTGAATTACATGCAGATGCAGCTCCTCCCCTTTGATAAAGAAACATCTGGCATCTCCAAAGTAGCACCAGCCTCCCTCCCTTCCATGCTTGGTCAAATCACCACGCATGCGAAACAAGAAGATTAGTGTAAGTGAAATTACAACATATTAAGTCCAAAATATATAACTCTACAAATCAAAACTCATATTGCTTTATGTAGCTTCCACAGGCTCTAGCCAACCTGACAATAAAACCATATCCAAATTATTCAGGTTTCACCACGTTTTGCCTAAAAAAGAAGGCAAAAATACTAGGGACAACCTTACTAAATACAAAATAATTCGCAAATCAAGGTCGGTTTATGTCGTATTAAGTACTAAATCTCGGACTCAAACGTGTGTTGATTTACATGTGAACCAGTATCCTAGTGGATACGGTGACGAGTTTTTACCCAAGCATCCCGTGTTTGAAACTCCATACTTCTCCTAAATTAGGGTTTTTATCACAAATTATCCCTGAAATTAACACTCACTATCAAAATGGTCATTGAAAATGAAAATCAATCAATGTAGTCCCTGAAAATAGGTGTCACAAATCAATGTGGTCCTTCCATTACAATTCTGTTAAAAATTTCATTAAGTGCTGATGTGGCACATAAATGGGTCCCATAAATCCTTTTTTCTCACAAATGATCCTTGAAATTGACCCGTGACATCAAAATGATTCCCAAAATTGAAAATCGATCAATGTAGTCCCACAATCAAGTTTCCCAAATCAATGTAGACATTCCATCACAATTTTGTCAAAAATTTTGTTATGTGTTAATGTCACACATAAATAGATCACACAAGTCTAATTAAATTAAAAATAAAATTACAATTAGGTTTAATAATTTAATAGTTAATAAAAAGTTGTCAACCCAAAAACCCAATCCTACAATCACCTCCAATCATAGTCCACATTCCTCTGCCTCCTTCACTGTCTATTCTCTTTAAAAAAAATAAAAAAATAAAAAAAATAAAAAGTCTCAATACACCCACCTTTATAGACTTCAACACCCTTGACCAAATTAAACCTGGATCGAGATCACCTTTGGTGATGACTTGGCTAATTGGCAACGACTTCTGAGATATCACCGTTAACATTTAGGCAATCAACATCCTCACAACCTTAATCTTGGAGAGCTTGTTCAGCACTTCCTTGGTGGTCTAGTGACTCAAAGAACGGCGAGGTCTGCCTTGAGATAATGTGGTTATAACCAAAATGTGTCTATTGTTGGTTGAAAACTATTCCCAATCCCTCTCTTAGACCTTGGTTAAGCCTTGTGCTTTGAAAATTTATGGAAGGGATTTCTCTTCGGAGTAAGTCCTACTATAAGAAAAAAAATTTCATTGCGCAAGAAGGTATTTAGACAACTTTTTAGATTAATTATTAAACCCACATCAGCACATAACAAAAAAAAAATCGCAAAATTGTGGCCGAAGGATTATATTGATTTGCGACAACAATTTTCAAAGACAACATTCATTGATTTTCAATTTCAGGGACTATTTGTGATAAAAAAACCCGTAAATCTTGTGGGCTCATTTATGAGTCGCATCAGCACTTAACGAAAATTTTAACAGAATTGTGATGGAAGAATCACATTGATTTGAGACACCTATTTTCAGAGACTACATTGATTGATTTTCAATTTCAAGAACCATCTTGATGGTGAAGACCAATTTCAGGGATCATTTGTGATAAAAACCCCCTAAATTATTGTAATAGTTTCGAGAGAAATGCTAAAATGACTCACCTCCAAAGTGATTCTCAAAGGACTCTCCACCCACGTGGAGTTGCTCTTCCACAATTAATTCTCCACCCGCTACCAAATTTTCTAGGTCTTTCATGGGGAAGTGCAACTCCACGTGGGTGGAGAGTCTTTTGACAATTCCCTCCCTTAATAATAATAAATTAAAAAAAAAATAGAAGTTGTGGTGATGACTTTGAATACATAAAAGCGTGCATCTAGGAGGTTGAGTTCATTGAATATTGACGAACTCTAGAAGTGTATGATAAAATATTACCTACTTGCAAATCGTACCAAGTTATGGATGTAACTGGTATTTGACATGAGGATTCATTGTCTATCT